TTCCAGCCCTTGCTTTTGCTGCTGAGTTCTTTGTTCTTAGGAAATTTCGGTATCGGTCCTTAAGGACCCATGAACTGCTGCAAATTTCATGGATTTCATCTTAGTAAATCGAAGGGGTGAGAGACTCCAGCTGCTGCTTGGAAGCCCGATACCCAAGGTGATTCGGCTCAAACTCAGACGAATAATCAATTGTCTAAAATATCAAACAGAAGATTTTCATACGAATTGAACTCATGGAATTTACCAAAACAGCCCGAAGTGTGGAAGAAATCCAAATTACTGGAAAAGAACGATAACACTTGAAATGAAACGACAAACATTCGCTTAGTAATCAAGTATGGGATGTTTCCTCCGTAAAACCCTTATTTTAATACTTAGCAACCTGAAGGAATCAGAGAAAAATCCACTTACCTTGTTCGGAACCCTGTGTGGTAGAAAATCGACTTGTTGCAATACTAAGATTTTCTGTCTTTGTTAGAATATCGCATTAAGCAGGTTCACATCATAATTCGGCAAAAAGGCTTTCATCCTGTTCTGGCCGATTAACATTTTTGGTCACTCATTTCTTATATGCTTCATATCAAATGTTGTCTCAAGAAATCAGTACCTTATTCTTCACAACCTTTTCATAACTTGATATAACCACAACAGCCTCCTCAACTTGACTTTATTGTTTAAGATATACATATTAATATGAACTATACCTATTCAGAATATTCTAATCGTGACTTCCACCCAGTTCTTGCTTAAGGTCCAGAAGCCGGATAAGGAAAAAAACCACAAGCAAGTGGTTAGTGTAGATTTCGTTAACACTGTGATAACTCCTATTACTCATTAGAGTCTTTATTTATTCCGAGAACAAATGCCATCACAGTGAAATCACCCATTTCCTCCCCTTAGGATACCGTACTCCGTTGTCGATCTCATAAGTGGTTTTTCTGAGTTTACAGCACCAATCATCATTATTCACACGGTGAATCATCAGGAGTGCCACAAGCTACCGTACTCCTCTATCGATTGGCTACAAGTTTATGCTCATTTCAAAGTCGCCGGAACAACAATGCCGAAAACGAATCGTGCCGTCTCTGTGGCGATATGTCTGCTCCTAGTTGATTATGCAATAGCAAGGGCTTTCGCTTTACTTTTTCCCCCGTCTTCTTTTGCTAGACGGCCGTCCTCCTACCGTATCCTTCGTCGATCGCCGTCTCGGCCGCCGTCGCTCGAGCAGTTGCGTGTGTGTGTCGATAACACTTGTCGGCAGCTCACCTCTCCAATCCTTCCTTCCCTCGTCCCACTCTCGTCGGACAAACATTTCCAAATCGGCCTGGATCAATGTGCCGATGAAAACGAGCAATGTTTGTGTTCCAAATCGATGACAAATTAGTCCAGTTTGGAGTGAAAGGTGGGCGATCTCCAACCACTACTGCCATCAGCACACCTTTGTCCCGTTTGTCCTGCCCATAAAGAGAAATAAAACTGAAATGCAACCAGAAACAGGAAATTTTATCTGAAATATACCAATTGTCCACTGTAAGGATAAGGATAAACAAAGATGTCTCTGTATAGATGTATTCGCCTTATCATTAAACAAAACCCCTTGTCTGTAGTAAGACAAAAAGTGGAGTATGAAAAGACAGAAACTGTTCATTTTGTTCAGTTATTTATTTGTAGTTTTTTTCACTTCTACTCCAAGAGGCAAACGCTCCACTGTAGTTTGGGGATGAAAAAAAGAAAAACTTTCTTCTAGAAAACTAATATTTTCAGATTTGAGAGTCCCATCCCACAATCACCCGCAAAGAGCATGTTGTTAGAGAAATATGCTATAATCAGATCACAAAATTGCGTTTTATTCGGTGTAGGTAGTTTCCGTTTTAGAAATAAGGAGAAAAACTAAAGAGTCGGTCTTTGGAGTTTTCGTTTTGTTTTTCTTTTTCTGAAACTCATATTAATTAGTAGAATTCGGTTTTTTTCTCTTTTTCTTTATTAATACTTCTCTGAGAAGAGTGTGACATGGATAGAAGCAATATAACGACTATGCCATAAATCAATACGTATACTTATAATGGGATAGCGTTTAACAGTTGACGAGACTAATCAGGTGAACTAAAAAAAACAATGGAAAGGAAATATGAAATCGAATGCTTGACGGTAATTATCGTAGCAATTTTCTAGCCGTTTGATTGTGTCGTTTTCAATTATTCTGTTCGTCAATGGTTTATTTATGAGTAATTCAACGTTAGTGTGAGCGCGCATCTGTCACATCTCGTCCGAACAGCAGGACATTACACCTCAGTCTGATCTGTTTTAGCTCGATTTTTATTCTCTGCTTCGAATATTCGTCGAATATCGTCGAATACTCACCGAATATTCGTCGCTCACCGCTAATCATCGCAAGCCGGTTCGTTTTTCGATTGTCACAATCTCAGTCATAGTGAATTATCGTTATCTTCTAATTCAAAACATAAACACCACCACTCTTCGGCAAGTTTAAGGTGCTTTATGTTTTCGTTTTGTACTTTTTTGCTACGATATCTGACCTCCATATGAAACTAGTGGGTTTTTTTCTCAGAAAAGGAAGAAGATGGGATTACATGCAACTGGATTGAAAATTCAATGTCATACGTGTGTTAGAAGATTATTCATTATGGTGACAAATAATTATTAATGAGTGTAATGACACAAAGAAAGCAATAAAAATTGGATGAAATGAAGAAGTCGGTGAGCAGATGGAGATTTTATAGCACAAACAGAATGCGTTGGTACAAAGAAGTTCTAAGGGCTAAAATTATTTAACAATTTTCTGAAATTTAAAATTGCGAAGAAATTATTTAGAGAGACATTTAACCTTAGAATAAATGCAAAGCAATAGATAGCAAATCGTCATTGGTCGATTCGCTTTTGCCTTATTCACAATTGTACTTTTAGAACTCGTTTTATATGCTTGCTCTACTAATTCAGTCGTATTTTCCTCCTCTTCAACTATTCTTCGAAGAGTCGAAAATTTTGGCGCCGTAAGGAGAAGCTGAAATATTAAATAAAAATAAAAGAAGGCTAATTAAGAGTCTCTTAGATAAAATGCGAATACATTGAATGCTTTAGATTTTGGCTGACAGATTCCTATTCGTTGTATTTATCACTTACTAAAGCTAGCGACAACCTCATGAACTTTATGTGTTTTTCAAAATTCAATGAAACGAAATTCTTCTCTCAAACGGGAAAAATCAGTGATGGCAATAGTTCAGCTCAAGGAACAAATCTGAGAAGGGTAATAAAAATCAAATCAAAGCAAACTTTCGGTGAGGGAATAGAAACGAAAACCGTGCTGATTAGAGAAAATCAGACTGTATTTCTTCGAAAGCGAAAAGACACAGTTCGATTGAAGAAAATTGTCATTGTCGTTCTGAAATTCACTCCTAGTTTCAGATTGTTCAACAACATCAAACCCGTCGGCAACGATGATCGACGGCGGCGACGACAGTAAACCGTGAGAATGTTTTTCGTGTTTCTGAAGCCTTTTTAGCTCACATGGGAATGGGGAGCTCCAACCGCTTCTGTGTGCTTTTGTGGTACTGACGGGTTTGGTGTGCTGAAAGCTCATTGTGATCGAACAACCACGTACAAACACACAACACAGTTCAAAACGAAAACCGCCAGTTACTGAATTACCGGCATAAAATACCGACGTTCTATAAGTCTCAGCATAAACAATCGACGTATGCATAAATATCCCTTTGGACTGCCTTTGCTTAGCTGATGCGAGGTTGGTATTAGTTCTCGTTATTATTGCTGTTGTTGTGGCTCGATGGCCGGCGTTTCCATGATTTCGTCATGTCAGAGCCCATACATACTTTATTTGGATATCGTAACATTAAATAAGTGCAAGCTATGATAAAGGCAAAGTCGCCGATCGCCGGTCATCGAGCCACAGCAGCAGCAACAACAGCAAAAACTACAACTATAACAAAAACAACTGATACCAGCTTCGCGTCAACTCAACAAGGGCAGTTCGTGAGTTATTCAGTTGTTGAAGCTTCAACGACAACGACGACGACGATGACATCATAGATGTCGGATACTGGCTGACCTTCGACCTAAGTGAATACGATAATTGGTTGCCTGTTCGCGTGCGTTACTGCACGAACATTAAGCTGCCCCAATTTCTGCCATTTAAGAAAAATTAGGTGGACCTCTCTAGTACAGGAACTTGTGAAGAAACGAGTGTTATGCGAAAATGCAGATTTTTAGGTGATGGCTATTTTTGATGCAGCAGGGTAATGATGTAAACTATGAATGGTAACAATGATCCAGGCTGAACCAGGCAAACGAGTCGTTTTCCTATTTTAATTTCATCAAAAGTGCTATTAAATTCACATGGCTGAAATTTTTGGCGTGTATTCTGAAATTCCTTGAAATTTTCTTGTGGCTGTTTCTTGACAGACTAGAAAAAGTAAACAGCATTTGAAGTCTAAAAATAGAATAGAATAGATGGGACAGTAGTAGAGATGCTGCTCATTAAATGCAATTCTTGTTTCGACTCCGTCCCACACCGGGCCTCCTATTCCTCCGGGATCAAGAAAGTCTAAGAAATTAGTATGTGGAAGGTCTCCCGATTCAATAACACCTTGGAATACGTTAGCACCATAGCACGGCCAGCCTAAGATTCCAAAAAAAAATCGGCTCAACCAGCATTCATGGACACTCATAAAGATGACGATAACCGTCAAGCAGCAGTCGAATCCACATCAGAAAATGCTTGAATAAGTTCATGGATGATTGATGGGTGGAAGTAAATCAAATAGAGAAAGTACTAGGATCCGAACAATACCTGTGATGATGGGTCGCGCTCAAAGAGTGTATAAAATGAGATGAAAATGTGTTCACCTCGTGCGACTATCAAGTCCACCTATCGACAGTTGCGAATGTCACGCATATCTGTCACTGTCTTCATTGTTGTTAATTCCTCCAATATTTTTTATTACCACTGAATTCTCGAGAACATTATTTACAGGAACACTCTCGAGTTTTACAATTCGCGAAGTCGTGTAAAACATCTCGACGAGGAAGAAAAAATTGTTTTCCTCTTCGACTACTCAGCGACGTAAGATAGGGTTTATATTACCTCTTTCATTGGAGCATATTTTAGTAGCATTTTGAGATATTATTTACTATTTAAGTTATTTGTTTCAAAATGTTCGATAGTCAGTTGTACATACGGTTGTTTCCAGGCCCATAAAATCAGTACCAGACAAATCGGACGATCCCCTTTTGTAAGTTTTATCCGCATAAAATTCCGAGGATTTTTTCTTGAATATTACTGATTTTCTGATCACGTAAATACTTTCCAGATATGGTAACTCCGAAATAATCGATTGGAGAGTCCTTCGAGATTTGGTAAAGTCTCTGCTTACAAGATTTTTGTTTCACTACATAACCATCTACTGTGCTTCACATGATTACTAACCGGTTTCCATTCTATCCGTTATATTGTATTTCTAGTAAGCGTCTTTTCAACACTATTTCTTCGACGTTTCTACTTTATCTTATTTCTCATACACTTACTGATTCATCTAATTTCTCCTCCATTTCTCCACCTACTTAATTATTGATCAGTCTACGTTCTTCATTTTTTCCACAACCAACTTTTTTAGTGAAAATGTTAGCAAAATAAGTGACCCCAAAATGTTTCTATTCGTAAAATTCACTTCTTCAAATCCAAGTGATAGAAATCTCACGATGACGACTAGCTAAACAGAATTGCATGGGAAGACTAGAATTCCTAGCAAAACTTGTTCATCAGGCGAAAGATAAAAACGTACAAAAAGAATGTACATTGAAGGATTCATACGTTAACGAATCGATAGTGAAAACGAATATGTAATGAATTAATATCTAAAGGATGTGTTTTTCTTTTAGAAAAAGGACAATAAGTGGGGTGTTATTCGACATCCGATGGTGATGAACTTCGTCAATGAACGTCTACTTGACTGTGCTTTTTTCTATAGTCTTCACGTTTTAGGTCCGTTCCTAAGTCATTATTCTTCATTCGAATAGTTTCTTGCTTTTTTCGTCATCATCGTCATCGCCATCACTTCACTGTCTTAACTTCTTATCACTTTACCCTTTTCCTTCACGACTCATTTCTTTTTTTTCTTTGAAAAAACTGCTCAGTTTTTCTAAGAACCGTAAGACCTGTTGAAAAAAATTGTACAATTTTTTAAAAAACTTTTTACACTATTTAAGTAGATGTTTTCTAAAAGATCTTAAAATCGATTTTCAGCTTTTGCTGTTTTTCTTTTGTTGCTATCGTCGCATATTTTTTCCAATACGTTGGCAAAGGATATTGCTGTCACCGCATTCATCGCGTTGTTTTTACTTTTCATGGTGAGATATCTTGATGAAAAATAAAAGGTTTTTTAGAACAATAATACCTACACCTCGCTGCTGTCCGAGTTCTCAATTAATCATGCCTTTTTCACTTCGAGACTTGCGCATTGTTTGCGAAAGCAGACTCGTCCGCGGCGACGATTAACACAAGGGATTTTTTCGCGCAGAGTCACAAGTGAAGTGAAATAATGGTTAAGGTTGAAAAATCGAATTATAAGCTTATTATTACACAGTCTTAGCGAGGCTCTGAACTAAATTGCAGAACACGAGGAAAAATGAGTTTGAAGTTTTCGCAGTGTCGGCAACAAAAAATTGGTGCTTAATTCTGATACTTATAGGTCTAAACGTTGAGGAGCGACAGTACAATGACATGAGGTTGATGGAAATGCTTGTTCGGCTAACGTGACGAACGGATGTAGACCATCGTCGACTAGGATCATCGGCTCTGTGGATGACAAAGACGTCGAAACGTTAGCCGAATAAATATCTTTATCAACCTCGTGTTAGGTTAATAATCTAAGAAGGTATTGACAAATAATATCAAGGTTGAACAACTGTTGGCTTGAAAAAACTTGTAATCTGGCATTTTTCTGTTTTATTCTGTCATCGTTGACGTCGTGCATGGTGTTCAGCTACTGAAAGGCGCCATCAAGGCTCGAATCTCACGTTCGATCTCGTTCTGGTTCATCATCGCCTATGCGTTCAATATAATTACTTATACCGCAACATTTCTCTATGTTTGGCTACCAACATTATTCAGTTATGACGACTATCATGAGGAAACGAAGGTGATGTTATTTAATTTGTAATGAGTTTAGTACTTAAGAGACTTCACCAATATTGATCACCAATAAATGGCAGGATAAAGATCGAAACTTGCAGAGAAAAAATTGGCCGATCCTAACGATTTTTTCGCGCTTCAATAATTACAGTAGGACAGAAATTCTACTATAATTAGCAGAGAGTAGTAAAGTGCATGCAATAAATTTAGCATGAGCAAAATTTCCAAGAAAGGAAAATAATGAACCTTTCAGAGCTAATTGAGAGCATATTCCTAGGAAATTTCTAGAATTTTTCTTTTTCCGCTACATTCGTTACCAAATTTTATCTATTTATTTGCTTTATTGCTATTTTTTGTGTCACTGCCTTATTTCTCAAATGCGCTAAACTCCTGTGATTATTTTTAGTCGTATTCATATTCTACTTACTTACTTGGACACTTTGATGGTCTGTTTTCACTGGTTGTGCGAGCCCCAGCATAATCTCCACTTCCTCGAAATTTGATATTTTAGCCATTCTGGTTCTCTGTAGTGCCGACGCCATTCTAGCCTTCCTCAGGTCGTAACCACCCCAGGCAGTCGCCGCCCTTTTGAATTAGAGGGAGATTGGTCACCATGCGACTAATTTAATACCAGGGTGGTGGCACCCCTGGTGTCGTCTTACTCTTTGCTGGGCTTCGGGATGAAAACGTTGGACGCCTTCTCTGCTTTCGAGACCCTGATAGGGAATAAACCTACCACTGTAAATCGTAGCCCGGCAACCATGAACACTTCCCAGCCACGACGAGGCGCTAAACATGGAAGGATTCACATTTCAACAACAAAATATGTACCTTATAGATTTTCTGTGCATTTAAACATCAAAAACGTTTGTAGAAAATTGTGCTTTGGTTCCTGCCAATAGTGGCGATCATTTCGGCTTGGATGAATTTTCTCTACATTCTACGAAAATCACCGTATGGTATTTATATTTTCATGATGGTGCGAATCTTACGTTCATTTGGACATGTGAGTTGTAGCGATGTTTTTAGCTGTAAATTTAACAATTACTAGGGTGCTTTGACCCTGTAAATCTAGTAATTACAAGAATACAATGGAAATAGAAAGAACACCTTGCATTTAGTAGGATAATCATGTCGCTTAATAGCTTTATGTTACGATTACTAAACTACAACGTTCTTCGAAAGACTCGTACGGCATCACATTTTTATACGATCACTAATTTTTCGGCAAAAAGTAGCCGTCAAAGGTTGCCTGCCGTTATCTACTGTGGATTAGCTACACGGTGGGAATGGACAAATCCTAGTACCAACTTGATTGGTTCAGTTTGGAATGGTGTACACCCTGCTTAGCACCAACGCAGTTCGACACCCAAAACATCCCACCCCGTCAAAACAAGAGAGTAGATTACTCGGGTCACTATAGGAGTTATCACTATCTATAACTGGTTGGATAAATATATATATATGTGTATATATGTACATATATGATACATATGGTACCTAAACGCGTGTGAGTGATATATGTCTCACACTGTCGCCCATATCTCACTGATACTTTCTCAAGTTTGATGATTTATTGTCGGTTATCGTTTCTTCAGATTGCCACCATCTGGATTCCCACGTTGATCGCATTTTCTTTCGCCTTCCATTTGATTATGAGAGATTCGGGCACTGAACCATGGGAAAGCTTTAAAGGGGTGAGATCTATGCTGGATTTTATGTGATTGGAACAGCTCACTAGTTAAAATTCATTATCAGTTACGTAACGGAATAGCATTACATATCTTGTAAGTAACTGAGCCAAAAGTTCAGTTAGCACCTAGCGTTCTACTGAGGATTACATTTTCTTAGTATTTATGATGTTTGGAGTCGACTCTCCTAACTAATCATAATCGTCATAATCGATTTTGCTCATGTACTTTTAGATAGATCAGTGACAGAAGCAAAAAATCAATAAGTGTTAAGAAAATTGCAGCACGAAAACGCTACCGTAATCGAGAAATTGTTCATCATCCTTCAAGCGGTCACAAAAACCTCAACAATGATGATTGGCGAGGTGGATGCGAATGACATCCTGGGTTTGTGCTTTTATTATAGCTGAATCTTCTGGTTATATGAAGATCAGAAGAAAAAGGGTTTATAGGATCTTTGATTCAATCTACTTTGTACGGTTAGCTCCTTAAGGATGTAAAAAAACCCAAACAACTACGTAGAACCTAGGAAAAATTCACCAAATCTCATTCAAATGCATCCAACCAAATTGGCTCTAGCTCTCTCTTTTTTAATCAGTTGATTTTGGATTCCCTATATTGATTTTTTCTATGCTGATATTGATTTTTACACAGTTTTTGTAAGTTAGCACAGTAGTAATAAATTTTATAATTTGTCCTCTGGCAACGGATTCGCTATCATTTTAACGATGTTGAGAATCTCTAATCTACGAAAACTTATACTGTTGTGTTAAATGCGTCTAATCATAGAAACAATGAATTTCAGAGTGCAAATTTGATGATGTACGGCCCAATCCCGGCTGGGAAATCGGTGGTTCTTCCTTCTAGTAAAGGCCTTAATTGGGAAGTTCGATATGCATAGTCGGAAGCGCAATAATAAGAAGATCCATAGGACTCAGAAGTTTAGCTGTTACACACGATTGTCCAGCCACTGAAGAAAGCGAAAACATTGGCCCTTGTGGCAAAACGGAAAACCTTTCTGTGTCGCTCGAACGGGAGGATTATCCTTGTAGATGCATGGGGCACGACGCGAGTAGACGAATGAAAGCTGCGCTATTGGACACTTAAGTAACTCGATAACTAAAAACTTGCCGTCTAACTTTTTATCTACTGTCCATCATTATTTTTTCACAGCAAGGTACAATGTGAAACACAGCCACAATGACGATGAGATATTTTCAAAGCTAATGCTTCAGGGTAAATTCGAATCTGCTATTACGCTTTCCGGAGACTCAAGTGTTGCCCACTGCACAACTGAGGCCTTTTCTTTGCCTTTCCCTCGGCGAATTTTTTAAAATTATGACCGTCCCATCAGCAAACACCCATAAAAGCTTATTGATGACACATAGGATAGGTTGCCACTCCGGTGCTTCAACGATATTCTCCGTGATCACGTCTTTTTCATATTATCGTATAGTGTGAAACGCCTCAAGCAATTTTCATCTCCGCCATTGTCGACATCAATTAAGGCTGCTAAACACGCTTTCAAATACTGGTAGTGGATATATGGCCATAAGACGACAATTTTCGACGCAAACGCAAATCATTTCGCAAAAAGAAAAACATGGCTGGCTACTTAAATTAGGCATTCTTCGATTCTTCATTTTTACAACCATCATTCCATTCTACATGATGCTCCTGAGATAAGCCCATGCTTCTATATATATACTTACTTACTTGATACTTGAACGGCGCGTTCTCAGTAGTTGTGCGGGCTCCAGCATAATCGTCATTTTTCGGAGATTTGCTAGTTAAGCCATTGTGGTTCCTGGAATCCCGAGGTGCGCCTGGCCAAAGTCTGCCCCAGGTCTTCATCACCATAGGCAGTCGCAGCCCTTGTGGATCAGAAGGAGATTTGCCACCATGCGACTTTGATCCCAGGACGGTGGTGGATCCTGGTATTGGTTTACTCCTAGCTAGACTTCCTGATGCAAACAGTGGACTCCTCAGCTTGGGAGACCTTGCCGGGGAGATGGATCCTCTCGCTGTACATCGCAGTCCGGCACCCAGGAACAGCTCCCAGCCACAATGAGGCGGTAAACCGTTGGGAAGATATATATGTATATAATATTATATATATAATATATATAGTATTGTATACATATATGTTTGTGGTCCATTTCAGGAACACGACAGTGGATTCCCAGCGTTTTAGTGCTTGTCTTCGAAATTATCACTGTTATCTTATTGATGAATCTTATGGTGAGTAACATATGACCTATTCATTTTTCCAGGTTTTCAATAAAAAGCCTGTCGAAAAGATAATGGGGCTAGAATAGTCACTGACAAAATTGATTCTCGGGCTAATTTATGTCAGATTTTAGAACGAAAACCAACGCATGAACCCTGATACAAAAAATGACTCACGCGAATAATCGATACGTTTCTTTGGAAGCCGTTGAATTCACAGCTTACTACGGAATCACATTTTTTTTATTTGCTGCCTATTCTTTCTTCATGGCAGGGTATGATGTGAAATATAACCATAGTGATGCTGAGATATTTGCAAAACTTCGAACGACATGTGTCTGCAGTGGAGATCGAACCAACTACTACCCTCTCCGGGATCTACCACTTTCTCCACCACACGATGCGGCTCCTTTGTTTCGCCTTTCTCTAAACCGTGTTTTATGTTATCAGTAGCCACCGAAGTCCGTAGTTTTGCAAACATCTCAGCATCATTGTATCTATATTTCACTGCTTACTTTCGAAATCAAGCCATGTAGAGTTTCTGTAATTAAGCAGCTCTATAGGTAACCTAGCTTTAATACGTTATGGATAAAAGGTCTCAGAAATCGCTAAGCTACGCGGCGTGTTTGTCCGTGACTCACCCAGTTAATGTTTCTCTTGGACACAGTATACGCTTAGTGTATAGGGGTATCGTGTGAAACTCGTACGTCTGGAGTTTGTTTGCCAGTTGAAACGAAACGGAAAAAAACTAGTTTCTTCTGTTTGTACAAGGAGTTAGGCATTCACGAATATGTCTTATACTTTTAGGTGTCGCTTGCAGTGGGAGATGTGAGCGATTTACGAAACACGGCACAGGATAAAATACTGAAAATCAAGGTTAGATGGATCGCTTAAATGTAAAGTGCAAACAAAATATTTCCATTAACGCAGTTTAACGTTCCCAAAAACTTTCGTTACTTCAAGGCCACAGCACAGATCAATCTTTAGGTCATAAATTAGAGAACATTCATCAAAAGAACACTAAAGTCGGTTAGCGCCATAACACTGAAAAATACTGAATCACAAATGCTATTTATAGAATTTTGTTAAGTTATGGAGTTTATATCACTTGCACCTAATGTGCTCCCACTTATTGGCGAGTGACTCCTATTGGGCTCGGGCAAACCCTCAATCGGTTCTTGTCACAAACCACTAAGTTCACTTTGCTTTAAAGATATGTTAAGCGTCACAGTATTCTCTTAGTGTTTTTATGAAGAAGTTTGACCATTAGGTTAGTGGTCTGTCAGCTATATACTTAAAACTGTATGAATTTCTGCCTCTAGTGACCATGATCCGATAATTGCTGCTGAAGCGCACTACGTGTCATTTCCATATGACGTTCGACACCTTGAAGCAAGCGAAATCGTCCTCGATTTTAGATCGCAACCATGGATTCCTTAAAACCGACATCCTACTCAACACCGATTTTAAGCGGTTCGCCATTTTTACAAACCGATTCAGCTACATCTAACCGGATCTTTCAGATTCCACTGAGCGTTTATTTAGGTAGTAAAAACGAATTCCTTCTATTGGATAAGGCAGAAGTTAGCCGCATGAAAAACACTTGAAAAGAGCCAATTCCATTTAGGAACTGCAGGAAAGACATCGGAGCGAATATAAGAAAATGTTAAAAATAATACATCCTATGAAATATGCTGACATTCTTTTCCTAACTTTTTCAACATTTCGTCGTCCACCTATAACCGTTGCTCAATTATCTGATCTCTAATGCATTGCACGAATTGTACGAATGCATTGAAAGCCAATAGGCAGCAAAGTCATAGATAAATTAGCAGTTTGCCAGATTTGAATATTTTCTGCCACAAATACTTAAGCGGCGCCCTGCAATGCAGACGCAGTCGTTGGTTCGATTCTGCGCTCCGATTTCACCGAACCCCTTCATCACTACGAGATCGGAAAATTGTTGCCGGATTTGTTTGGGAGGATAACACTACCAAACTGATGCTTCGGAAGGCCCCCACAACTCAAAGTGTAGACTAATAATGTATTCAATCACTTTTACGATGCTACAAGTGGAGTACAACGCATGGGGCATTCTCAAGGGATTGATGAATGCAGAGGAGTTTGTAAATGAATGCTTAAGGATACACATAGCTCATATCAATGCGCAAGCACAAGCTAATATTTTGCATCAATATTTATGTATTCGAGAACTTTCCAGTAACATCGTAAATGACTTTTTAGGTGAATTTTGTTATCGAAGCACTACAACTCAGTGAACATTTCGGTCTCGGTGGTCTTTCGATTCAACCGTTACACAAACGACGTACTAATAATGTCCTAGTTGTGCATAGCGATGGCACCTACTTTACTCGATACGATGAAACACTGCGTATTGGTAATTTCATAAATATGTATATATATATATATTCTATTATTGCTTCTTCTGCAGGTATTGAATAAAATAAGCAGCTTTTTCTTGACAATCCAGAAGATCCACAGAAACACCTAGTTGATCTCACATATTTGCTAAGACATTGACTTTTTAGCTATCATGAATAGTGTTTTATACCTTTATCTCGTTAACTCCATAATTTAATTATAACTGGCACCGATAGGGTAAAAAACTAGCTGAGAAAAAGATATAGCAAGGGTCTCAGTGGTTCAGTGGGCAGCATGTGAACCCCAGAAAGGTTAGCCGCGAGTTTGAATTTGGCCTGGGTTCCAAGTTTTTCGAATATGTCAGCATTATTATGATTTTAGTTATAATTATAATATTTACTATAAGTAAATTTAGGCGGCGATCGATATCCAATGTTTGCAACACGTAAGATTGCCAATGACCCAGACAAGGTATCTAGTTTTATTCTTCGAAATAAAAATAAAGTATTCGAAATCTTCACGATTCATCTCAGCTCATCCGTCATATTATTGCAACTTCTCTGTCGAATTATCATATTCTTTACAATATTTTATTTCTCGCAGAAGTGCACGTGAATTCACGTATACTGCTCTCAATCCTCCCAACGGTTTACCGCCTCATCGTGGCTGGGAGGTGTTCCTGGGTGGCGGGATGCGATGTACAGCGAGGATATTCATCTTCGGCAGGGTCTGACAAGCTAAGGAGTCTGACGTTTTCACCAGGAAGCCAAGCTGAGAGTAAACCAGTACCAGGATCCACCACCGTCCTGGTATCATTGTAAACGCATGGTGGCAAATGTCCCTTTGATCCACAAACGCTGCGGCTGCCTTTGGTGGTGACGACCTGGGACAGACTTTGGCCAGGCTTACCTCGAGACTCCAGGAAATCGCAATGGCTAAACCAGCAAAGCTCTGAAAAACGGAGAATGTGCTGGGACCGGCACAAATAGTGAGGACAGGTCGTACAAGCATCTGTGTTTACTCTTTTCAGTAGTATAAAATCGAAGTCATTTTTCGCCAAGCATATCATGAAAACCCAGTTTTTTTCTATTTTTTTTCTACACTTTTCGGCAATCATTCATAGGGAACTTGCTACATTAGCCCTCATATCGTAAACTGTTGTAATCATAATCTGATTTCTGATGATATTTTCAGTACAATGCAATCAATCCACTACTTGATTTCCACGGTTAAATACTTGCATAATACTTCGATCGCACGTCTTTACTGGTAGTGACTGTAGTCTGCTTCGAACTTGGTAACGCTAGCATGCTCCGTTACCTAGTCTTCAAATTGATTCCATCCTCGAGTGCACATGGTTGACGTTAGCCACGAACACGTTCACCCATCGTTTGGGCGGTCTTCTATAAGGACGCTTGCATTCTCGGGAACCCCATTCCAAAGTTATTTTTTTCGATCTGTCTTCTGTTCTTCTCATTACATGACCGGCCTACCCACGTTTCGCGTTTGATGAGTGTTCGCCTCGGTATCCGAAATGGGAAAGACTTCGAAGATCTGAGCTTCGCACTCCGGCATTCCGGCTAAATATCGTGTGTGGCGGTTAGTTTTCAGAAAGCGCTCTGTGAGTTGTAGGCACCATTTTTAATGTGAAGGAAGTATCAGCCAACGCTTCTGCTACATAACATAGAGCTGCTAACGGCTGAGTTCAAAAGATTAGAGCGGAGTTTTGCGTCGACTATTTGATCGGTAGCTTCTTTAAGAGGCCCGAATTAAGTAGATGTTGCTTTACCTCTTTTGTTCAATTCCTCCTTTAAGTTGTTCTCCATGTTCATTAAACGTCTGCGGCACCTGTTCTTGAACTGAGTCTTCGTCATATTTATGCGCCGTCCAATTTTCCCAGTTTGTCGAACTCATTTAGCGTCGTCTCTGCTTCATTGGTACTTCTTGAAAAGATGGCGACGTCTTCGACGAGACGTAAATTTGATAGGAATTTTCTTTCAATACGCATACCATTCTCTTCCCAATCGATTGATTGACTTCATGATCCAATGCAATGCCACAGTAAACAGCCTTCGTGACATGGTGTCTCCTTGTCGAACCACTTTTCCTGTGGGCACGATGACGGCCCGATAAAGAAGCTGTGTGTGTTGCAGTTGTGCTGTAGTTTCAATAACAGCCCACTGGTGTCCATATATAGGACGGTCCAGTCTTTAGTCAACGAGCTCTGATAGGATTGCATTTAATGTTTTTCTTCAATAAGCAGACACGAGGTTGTTATTATAGAATTTATTAGGATACAATGTTGACGTTTCGGCGGTTTCGCCTTCTTCAGAGCCTTTTATTTGTTATAAGTATTTAAGTCAGTTGGTGCACAGAGTAATGCATGGGCAAGTAATTTATATCATACTTATAACAAATAAACGGCTCTGAAGGTCAAACCGCCGAAACGTCAGCTATCGTATCCCAATAAATTCTCAACCTCGTGTCCGTTTATTGGAGAAAAACATCGAATTATCAATCGATGCCAAGGTTAACAGAAAGTCGGTCATGGGGACTGCATTTATTTCGACCCCGTAACACTTCCATGGCAGAGAAAAGTCTGTACTAGTGGCAGGTGATATTCCCTGTAAACTTCATTGAAACTGGACAAGGTTTGGATGTGCTCCATTCAGCAAAATCCCTCTTGAAACCGTGATTTCACAACTAGTTGTACCTCTTACAATATCTTTATGCGTGATAAGATAATCTTCGTGAACAGTGTATAGAGTACATTCAATAAGTGTATCGGACGATGGTTATGAAGACTTATTCGGTCACCTTTCCTAGGCAGGATGACCGTGCGCAATTTGCTTCACTGGTCTGGGATTTTCTCTTTCTGAAGGAAGTATGTCATGTGGGTTGAGAAGTACACGTAATTTGTCGCCTCCAACTCTATAGAAATCAGTGGTGATATTATCGTGTCCTGAAACTGTGTATCTCTCCATGCTTTCTGTCGCAACTACCTTCAGAGGGTAGAATCCCGTTCGTCTTTTATCTCCGGGGGACTTCAGAGTCTGAGATGGGGAATGTAGACCACAAAAGATTGATATAGAGCTTTTCCATTGTCAATTCCGTATCATGGAGGTTGTCCATACACAGTGTTAAATACACAAATTAATAAGAATGAATATAATGAAGGCAAATTTCAGGCATTCCAATTGTCGTTTCTTGAGCCTGGTATGAGAGTTCGGATACAACCACTCAGGGGTACTATCTCCGTTTACGCTTCTAAACAAAATCATCCTTACTTTTTTAAACTAAACTTACTAAATAACATCTTTATGTCAAATATTTTACCAACTTCAGACAGTTCAAAGCCATATTTGCTCATTAAACCTGCTAACAAAATTCATATAAATGCATTATTTCTAACTCATTCGTTTAGTAGAACCTGTGTTTTAGGAAGACCTCAATCGGTTTTCTTCAAGAGCTGCTCAATGAAGCTTATTGAGACCAGCGATTCAGGAATTCCAGAGCTCGACAGTGATCCAGACAGTTACCAGGTAATTAATTAGTAATTACTTAATAGTTATTTGCCTTGACAGCGCGCACAGGACAAAGGTTAGAAGTGCCCTGCAATACAAACATGCTCTTTGGCTCAATCCCACGTCTACTGGCTAACCAAAACCTTTATCCATCCAAGGTCGGCAAATTAGCACTTGTCAGCGAGAACGAAAACGCTTACTTGACAGATTAATACTTGGATGCTTGGATCGCCCGTTTTCACCGGTTCTGCGGGCCCCAGCATAATTTCCACCTTTTCGTATTTTTGCTGCTTTAGTCATTGTGGTTCCTGGAGTCCCGAGGTCGGCCTGGCCAAAGTCTACCCCAGGTGGTTACCACCATAGCACTAATGGGAATAGGACGTCTCTTGTATGTTCTGCATTGTTTGTATTCCAAGTTACGCTTAAAGCAAAGAAACGACGTGGTCACAGTTGGTAGCGAGCTTTTTCGACTATCGCGGAATCCAAAAATATCGAACACAAATGGACATCGCACAATTTTAGTAGGTTCCCTTCATATCTTACTTACTTGGACACTTGGATGTCCCACCTTTACTGGTTATGCGGATCTAAGCATAATTTCCATTTTTTTTTTGGTTTTGCTGGTTTAGCTATTGCGGTTCCCTGGAGTTTCGCGGTCGGCCTAGCCAAAATCTGCCCCAGGTCGTTACCATCACAGGCTGTCGCCACTCTTGTGGATGAGAGAGAGATTTACTACCATGCGACTAGTTTGATACCAGGACAGTGGTTGATCTTGGCAATGGTTTACTCTTAGCTGAGCTTTCTGACGGAAACGCTTCTTCTCAGCTTGAGAGACCCTGCTAATGGGATGGATCCAACACTGTACATCGCAGCCCGACACCCAGGAACATTCCGCGGCCACGATGAAGGGCTAAACCGTTAACTGTAACCGTAAACGAGAGATGACACACTGATAAAAGCCGTAAATCATTGTAGAGGCGAAATATCCACCCAATCACTATCACGATGCTAAAGATGGAGTTGAATGCATGACGCATCTCTATGATATTAACCTCGAGGGCTTTATCCTCTTACTTGTCTGAATTTTATACCTTTCGAGGATAAAGTTCTTTTTCAGAACAATGACGATTACTATCGACGCTATGCCAAATGGATTATTGGACTTGACTGGATAGCTTATGTAGATCTGTAAACTTTCAGTGATAAACATAAAAGCTTGATTATTTACTCAGCACTTCAATAATTATTAATTGGATTTCGGGCTGCCAAGTAAGCAGAGCCAAGTACAAATTTCGACTGAAAAAGCCTTTAGACACAATGGTGTTTCAATAATAGCCAACGTTACAAAGATTCCCAATAAAACTATAAGCATACCAATGCTAAGAAGTTGTCGCATGCATACTAATTGAAATCTCATGGTGAAAAATAAATGATAAGCTTTTCGTTAAGGGAAGTAAAAACTGTCCAAATATTATACTGACACGAAATGAAGACACTACTGTCTTAAAGTGAATGAGGTAATGTTAGCTTTCCATAAGTAATTCGGCTCTACACAAAAATATATACAAAGCGATTGCAATATGGAAACGAGTGCGAAGCTGTTAACCACCTTTCTAAACCTCCAATTCCACATTTTCACTGTTAATAATATCGACAATAAACAGGAATCTCGCGAGGAACGGAATAATGGGCCTAAAAGAGAGCTCTGACGGCTGATTTCTTAGTAGGACTCATCGTCGCAGTGCTAGACACAGCTAACATGTTTGCAGTTGGCAACGATGAGCCAGTCCCTCGAAGACGTGCCACCTCCTCTTGAAGCAATTTCTCTATGGCTACGTAATTGTTCTGCTTCAATTGCAGATATCTTTTACCGCCTATTTCAGTGATGGTAAAATATTCAGGTGCCGTTTCACACAGAGCAGAAATATGCTCCAGTATCAGTGCTAAACAGAATAAAATGAATGAAGATGCAGTAAAAAGAAGAATTAAACTATCATTAGCTTACCACGGTTCAAAGCTGACTGGCTCCTCATTATCTGTTCCGATAACGTGTTCATATCTATCGAACGAACTTTTTTAAATGCGAAATATCTAAAAAACAACGTCGGCTCAGTGTAATTGCCTGCCACAATAATTTATTTGCTCAAATAAAAGTAAGACAGTGAAGTGATAATGGCTGGAATTTTCAAACCACCTCAGTGCTAAACGACTTTGTATTTTTGTGGACAATATAGTTCAACAGACATAACCCTTGTAATAAGTTTTTTTTTCAAAATTTCCAGTGCTTATGCAAAAAACACAACGTAACTTTATAGCAGAAAAATAAAAATCGAATGCAATGGTAAGTTCATATCAAACGCACGTCGTAATGCATCTTAACAAGCCATGGAGAATACGCTGAAGAACCTCGATTTTCTTCTCAACGACTGGATCTCTCAAACTGTCAGCCAACTTTTTCGCAGCTTCCTTCGCACGGATCTAAAACGAAGTACAGGCATATATACATGAATAAACTACCGTAAGAACAGGTTCTACTCACCCTTTCAAGCAAAGACAACGCTCCTTTTGGTTTCAGTGATTGTTGTTCTGCGAACTTTCGAGGAGAAAGGGGTGTAGCGCAACAAGAACTAACTAATTTTTTCAAAGGACTCTTAAGGCCTTCAATGGCAGTCTGTAACAAAAACACTTTCTAAAATATGAAACAATTAAGTATGACATGAAACAGTTGTTATTCACATCGACCGCTTTTGGAAGGGGGGCGCTGGTATCTACTGTTGCTAAATAATCCTTCATTTCAAGATGAGGTTCATCCGCGTCAGAAGGTATGTGTGGAAGCTCGGCCTGAAACTTTAGCAAATTGGAACCAGCTACGCTGTTCTTCTTCAACAACAAAACAATAACACTGCTTTCTAATGGTAATGAGAGTAATAACCTAAATTCAGGCAAAATTAAGAACACGCATTGGTCTAGATTTACAAATTGCCGCAGTCACATGATGAAAATGTTTTAAATTAAACACTTACAGCACAGTCCAAAACTGTAAATGTAACCAACATTCCAAAAAAACTTTGTAGGGAATTACCCACTTCCATTATCTCCTCACATTCTTGGTCTAAATCAAATTTGGGATGAAAACGCCGCAACCGGGAAAGTTCAGATTCATTCAGGAGCACTAAACAATTTGGCTGATAGTAGTGATAGAGTTTCATACACATTGAAAATTTGAAAAAATACTTACGTCCTACACGTTCAAGGAACTTCTGATGGAACTTCTTCACAATTTCAACAAGTTTATGCTTGAATACATGACTCCGACAAGTCATACGCCAACCCTCAAGGCGTGGGCGGCTGTCAATGACTGGTTCTCTGCATTAGTATCAAAAATAGTTCAGTGATAAATATCTACAGCTCTGAACACAGCACAGTAAAATAAGAAAAAAAAGGTCAATTTCAACAATATAAGGAAACGAATTATTTATGTGATACTTACCTAGGTACCGCTGTTACAATTTTCTTTCGTGGAGAAAGCAATTTCACCGGGATAACTTTAGGCAGAGGTTGATCATCCGTTTTCGATGGAGTATCGGGTAGCATATAATCCGTTAAATCTCAAAACTTTATTTTAAAAGAAATCAACTAAATTACCCACTAAACTACCATTTATAAGATTAGCTGCCATAACCAGCTCAAATTTTCCTCGAGATTTTGATTCTCCACCAAAAGGACTCCATTTCTTCTCTACTTTAATATCGTACGAAGCAGGATAAACGTGAATGATTTGCGCCAACTGCTTTCGAGAAAACGTTCTGAAAAATACAGCGTTACACGAAGAAATAAAGAAAACAACAGAAATTAAATAACATTTTTGTGTTCTTCTCAACGTTCATTTGGATCTCGGCAACTAAACATCTTCTTCCCTGTGCGGTGTATATAGACAGCACCTGCAAACAAAGTGATTTACGACCAAAAGAAGCTGAACACTGAAATAACCACCCACTCTATCACATGACTGGAATGACTCATGAAGACGTCTATAATTTCGAGGTAGTGGTAGAGTAGAGTTATTCTTAACCTCATCGACAAGACGAGAAGCTTTTCCGTAGTCAAATACGTGTCTGAGCTGGTCATTGCAAGAATTGAAACAAATACTACGACAACTATAAATAACACCTCTTTTCATCCAGTTCAAGTTCATCTACGGGCTGTTCTTCCGGTGTTTGATGAGTGGGAAGGACGAATTCAGGGATAACTAGCTGCGATGGTGTAGGAAGGCACTGAAACAAACCCATGAAAATTTAAAATAGTTCACTTACAATTACAAACATCACCACCTCAACGACTCGAGTTCTTGTCTTTTTATAGCTCTTTACTACGGTAGGTCCCAATGGCACAAATTTAGGTGGATCTTTAAGCATTTTGGCATGTTCGTCCACCTATAAATACAACAGAGAAATTGAGCACTTTTAATTACAAATTGCTAGTAATGAGAGTAAACAGCAGAAAATGAAGAGAATAATCAACTCACTCAACGAAGCGAGAAGAAGGATCGGAAGAAAACCCATTTAATGAAAAACATATGGTGCGAAGGTGAACAGATCAATTTGGATGGTTCTCTGATTATAGAGACCACGTCGTACGTGTACCATGACCGTTCGATGAATACGGAGAACGACATAAAGGAGGAATTGAGCAGAATAAGGAGAGCGTTAAGGGCCGCACTCCGTCCGCAAACAGAAGCCATCGACAAATTATAGAACTCAGAATCACCTTTTCAATTCAACACTCCCACCAGCACTCTGTTATGCAGCAAGGACGTAGGCCGCTACTTCTCCACGTCAAGAATACTGGGGACTACTCACTCACAGATCGCTTGAGCGATGTTCTTCTGAAATGTAACCAACACACACAACACCTAGTCGGGATGCGAAGCTGTGATCTTCGAAGTCTACTTCATCTTCGAGATTCAGGAGAACAAATGTCGACAACGAATCATAGACAGGAAAGGTCATATAATAAGAGGAACGGACGATAGATAGAAGAAAAGAGATGTAGAGTGAACTCCACGAGTACGCTGGGGTCCTTAGAGGACCATCTACACGATAGGCGATTGTGTTTGTAACTAGCATCAATTAGTTGTACTCTTCGCTGCAGTTATTTTACAGATCACGGCAGTAGCCTGCATCCATCATCAGGCATTCATCAAACCGCCACCATGGACTACGATCGGTAGGCAAAGAAACAAATGGAAAATGTGCTGGAATCAGCACTATTCATGAACAATAGTCGTTCTAGTAAGTAAGTAAGTAAAGAAGAGAAACGATACAGATGTTATATAGATGCTGTCAGAACTACATGCAAGGCCGTGAATCGGCCCCGACGACAACCAACCAGGACTCCTATCGGCACATCGACACCAGATTTGTCTGGTAAAAGCTCACTCTGATGCATAAAAAATGCTGACTTGCCCTTGGTGAAGACCTATGAACGCCAAAGCATGGATACCTCAGGATTCTCGACAGAATCAAAACCACCAGCATTCGACGATATTTATGAAGAAGGCAATTCTCAAGCGGCAGTCGAACAGATAGGTCATTCGGAGGATCTTCGTGGAATATGGGTACCAGGAAGCAAAATGAAGGGAGCAAAATCCACACAAGTAAAGCGGATCGTGCAGAAACCGAACACGACAAAAAAATGGATTGGAGCTGGGTTACCAAATAAAAGCCACCTATTTTCTAAGAAATTCAGTGGATCGAGGTTGGAAAAGATCATGTTAAAATATTAGAGCAAAAGCTCTCATAATGGATTTCTAAAGATTTTTCTGATAGGCATCATGGGTTTCCTACAAGTCTACAACAGGAATTCTATTAAGAACAAATAAACAAGAAACTGACTAAATGTTCATTAGTCACTTTCGAGAAAAGTGTAGACAATGAAGCTGAAATTTTATGGTGTAGAAGATATAGAAGTATAAAACAACGATGTGGAGAAGAAGTCATAGCAAACAATGTCCGCCATGAACATCATTTATGGCTAGAAAACGAGAACCACGGCAGGAGGAACGACATTCCGAAAAAAATGAGGATTGGTGAATAACATGTGAAAAACGGAACTAGTAATGAAATCGCATCGAAGTTCCCACGGTATTTTTCAACTTCTTTGGACTAGTTAGGCCGAAAAAGGAGGAAAAAAACTTAAGTGAAAAAAGACATATTCATTAAAGAACAGTGAGATATAACTTGAATGATGCTGAGATATTTGCAAAACTCTGGACCGCAGGTGTCTGCGGTGGGGAACGAACGCGCTATTGTCCTTTCCGGAGAGTAACGCGTTTTGTTTTGATACCTGCAGTCCGGAGTTTTGCAAATATCTCAGCAATATTAAAGTTATATTCCGCAATATATACCCTGCCGTTAAAAAGAGTAGGCAGTAAATAATAAGTTAAAAAAGAGTGAGAGCTGAAAATTTTCAGAAGGACACTTCTCTGAAAGTATTATAGTGAAAAATGCTGAATACTACCTGTTTACTCTTGTTTCTTTGCGCTTGCTCGTGGATGTTCTTGACGCTTTCTTTTTCTGCGAGCAACGCTTGCAGTTCAGCTACATTACGAATACGAGCACGGGCTTTCGAGTGTACCGCTGAAAGAAAGAAATAAATAAGGAACAAAAATAACAAAAATATATAGGAATGGATGACGGAAATCTCCATATACCCGAAGACTTTAGCTTTTCGGATAATTCGTCGGCTTTAGAAAGCAAAGGATTTAGTGCAGTTGTGGCACCATTAGAAGTATGTCCATCGGAGAGATAGCTTTCCAATTTACCATTGACCGCTGCTTTATTAGATGCAAGACAATCATCTACTGGTTCCCCTGATGTTGAGACAGGCCTTGCCTACAAAACCAGCAATGTTGAGTTTTACGAGAAGAAGAAACTCTTGACAAACGATAGTCCTTTTCTAAACAACCTCTTCTTGAAGATCTTCAAGTTTGGGACGGCCATCATCACCTAGGCTTATTTTGTTAGCGAACAAGGCTCTTCTAGAAATACGCACATCATGCTGTTCGTTAGACTAAACGAGGAAAAATAACTCATCAGAAACTAGACAGAATAAATCGTCTAAAATCATGCCTGCTTAGCGCGTTTGGGCGGAGAGCAAATCGTTTCCGATACCGGAGACGAACCCTTAACGTTTGTTGAACACTACAATAACTTCCTGAGACCTCTATTTCAACATGGCAACACCTTACTATAACTGCAAACGAACCTGTTCGGACATAACTGAATCGTCAATAGGCTTCTCTATACCAGTACTGTCAGCAGAATCCAAAAGCTTCTTCTTCACCCTTCCACGGCCTCTTGTAACCTTAAAACGCTCTCTAGACAATTGTCAATGCATATCGGCTATAGAAATGAATCGGATTTTATTTTTAAAAAAACAATTAGAACATCGCCAACGAACTTTAAAGACGTGGGTGATCTTCCTGGTTTGGTTCACAGAACCTTCCACTACGATTCTAGTGCTTCGAGATTGTGAGCTAGGGCATGACATCTCGGTTATGAAATGCAAGGATTACGTGAGTGGTTACGACTTCTGTTAGTCTGTAAAAATGTCAGATTATGCATACTATGAACAAAGGCTCTTGCCACTGAATAAAAGGAAAGCAACAAAAAACATGATAACGACAAAAACAAGAAGAAAAAACAACACAGTACAAACAGCTCTAATAACCGAAAGTGAAAATAACGTCTAAAACTTTATTGAGGACTTTTCGAGACGATTTACCAGCAACTGGGCCATTTTCAAACAGATGTGGTTTGCAGTTCCCGCCAGAAGTCTAGCAGTGGAGCGCGTTTAATGCGACAAGCTTCCTAAGAGAGGGCATCGGTTCAAGGTGTGTTTTCGGATGCATTATTGATCATACGATCTCGGATCGTGTAGCCTGCATATAACTGCCAATATGAGGGAACTAGTAGCATTCTGGACTACGGCTTAAATTTTTACTTCTGGACAAGATACGACGCACGATGTAGTGATAGAGCAAAAACTGTGTGAGATTTCCCTAAGGTTCTGTCCAAAAATTTGAAGTCCTCATCTTTTCTTTTGATATGCTCGGCTGGAAAGGTCCATTCCTAAAGAAGATTAGCTAAAGCAATTCTGTCTGCAATGTTAGTGAACTCCACTCGTCCGGTTATATATTTACTTCATCACCAATCGTGCGATAGTACACTTCGGATCCAGACCTCGATCCTCAATGAAGCGTTGGCGCTTATCGTCCTGGTTGGACTTCATCAATTAGAAGGCAATGCCGTTGATGTGGGACAAAAAAAGAATAAACTACTGGCGTTGATCAATCCCTGAGGGATGCGCCATGCATTTGACCCCATTCGCAGCACCGTCAGAAGCGTTGGAATGCATATCCAGCCTTTGCAATGATTAGCGGTGGCCTACCGATGTATCGAGGCAGTACTGCTACCCGCCAGACGGGTCTAGAAGCAATTTGCCAATTTCGGAGAGAAAGAGAGCTTGGTGGGCCAGGAACGAGGGGATCGATCCCAAGTGTATTGCAAGGCACCCTCGACACCACTGCCCTACACGCGCCCCTAGGCGCGGATGTTGGACGAACAACCATAAAGCGGCAGATCAAAGCGGTATAAGGATTTAAAGGCCTATGAGGTTAGTGAACGCTAGAAGAAAGCCCTCAAATGTGAGAGAGATATGAAGTTAGTTACTCTGACGGAGTACTCTTCTGAAAGAATGCTGTAATCACGTCTGAATGGCGAAACGAGGTATCTAACAGCGTATAATGAATATATTATAAATAGTCTATCTGTTTTCCCGTTTTTGATCATCTAGCGCATCGAGTTCGCGTTAGTACTGAACTTCTACTACTCCGCTGTTTCGCTGCAGATCTGCTGAATCAGTGCCTTCCCTATTTATGGCAGCTACCTCCACAAACGGTTATGATTAGTAGTATGGCAAGTGAGCAGTGCTAGTCTCTACGAAAACTTTGTCCTTGATTTCTGAAACCTTGCCAGATGTCAGCTTAAGCAGAGGTTTTTTAAGTGGGCTTATTTCTACACGGTTTAATTACGCTCATGCTATTTGGTTCAGTTATTGTTGAGTTTATATCGTCAAAGAACTTCCTTAACCCTTTCTCTTTTATAAGATGTTATACTTCGTGCTTTACTGGAGCGATAATATTTACCTCACATGAAGATCTGAAAGTGTTCGACCCAATTACTTTCTTGTCTCAAACGTTCTCCACAACGCATTACGATTCAATTTTTAACGATATAAACTAAGAAGTCATCATTTTACATCATCCATCTTCACATCTGCTGTGCAGATCCTAGCACTTCTTGCATTTATCCATCTCCTCGCAACCACTATCCACGAAGTTCTTCGAGCTCTTCGAGCTGCGTGTGGATTCAACTGCTGGCTGATTTCCGTCCGCCTCATGAGTTTCGCTAAATGCTCGTCGAGTCGATTCTTCATGAAGTCCAGTCCTGAGATAGATGCGCTAGAGTTTCCTAGTGGGTCAGAGAAATTAAACTGGTACCAGGGCGAGTCTGGTACATACACCCCGACCCCGGAGGGATTGAAGGCTTGGTGAGTTCGACGAAGGGTTGAACCAGCACCGTATCTGTAATGAAGGACATCACTACCTCTACGCTAGTGAACTAAAAAGTTACTGATATTTACTCCTAAGAAGTACATATCTTCGGTTTGCATTACATGAGAGGAAGATTCGAACGTGGAAGGCAGCGATTTTAGACGACCCATTGAGCATGTGAGAATACGGCTCAAACTGACCAACTCGGGCATAACGTACAACACTCGCAACATTAGCCGTGTGTAGGTACAACGTATTTTTCGTCGATGAATTGTTTTTTCTCCAACAGCTTTCCTTCTGTACGACCATAATGATTTCTGTGATAGACGCATGTAGTGCAGCACTTAGAAGTATTCTGCAACACACTTGATTCTTCAATGTTTTTCATCAATAAGCAGACACGAGGTTGTTAATATAGAATTTATTAGAACACAATTGCTGACGTTTCGGCGGTTTCGTCTTCTTCAGAGCCGTTTTTTCAGAGTTATCGACCATGTATTACTCTGTGCGGCGGCTATCCACCAACTAACTTAAATACTTACAACAAATAAACGGCTCTGAAGAAGGCGAAACCGCCGAAACGTCAGCAATTGTGTTCTAATAAATTCTATATTAACAACCTCGTGTCTGCTTATTGATGAAAAACATTGAATTATCAATTAATGCCGAGGTTAACAGAAAGTCGGTCATGGGAATTACACTTGATTCTATCTCACTCCATAGGTTAACCAAGCCTTCCATCCTTTTGGAGTGGGCAAATTAGCACTAGAGTTACCCGCGATGGGATTTCGTACATTGGTATGCTTCGCAAATCAGTATTTAGGCCAAATACGCATTCAATCACACCGATGTTTTTCGACATCAAATGCACAACGCATTTCGAAGGATTGATCGACTTCAGTCTGTCCTTCTACCCATTTCTATTGTTCCTGTTTCAACTGTCAATTGGCCTAATTGCTAAATCAGCTACTTTTCCTTTCTCTTTCTTCCAGGATTCTTTTCCACTTGATCCAACTTTTGCTGTAAACCTCAACTGCGTTCATTATCAAAAACCGATTACCAACTAGGCTACGACATAAGTCATTTTTCACTCCTATTTTAGTGAGAAACAAATCGGCTGACGTGAACTGATTTCAATTCACAGCATGTGCGGCAAGAAATTAAGTGTCATACCACTCGCCAACGACACGAAATTAGGCGTTAGACTCCAAATGTTAACCTACCTTAAGACCTGGTATTACTTGTATTTTGCAATTTATTCTATAAATACGAAAAAGCAGTCACTGCATAGAACCACTATGAACTCGATGAGATCACTTTTGTAATTTTGGTTTTGGTGGACGAAACGCCGCTCCGCGCATCACTTTTCCACCCTCTTCACGCTTTGCTTTTTTTGCTTGAAAATTACGCCAACTTCCTGACCTTTCATCTCTGGATTCCTGAAATAAATCACTCTATTATCAGCTCAGTGAGGGTAAAATGCACAACTCCACTAACTTCATAGTTCTTTGCAAACTCTTCAGCCAGCTTTCTTTTTTCAGCAGCTTGTTGAATAGTTTCCGCTGCGCGGCGCCTATAATTTTCTCTTCACTTCTAAAAAATTTAACATCGCACAGTTCCTCTTACTTCTCCTCATTTGCACGTTCTTCGAGCATCTTCCTCTTCTTTTCACGATCAGCAAACACTTTTGTGACAGTCACCCATAGCTGCTTTTTATAGACAGCTGGATCATCCTCTTCGATTTCGGTGTTCCCGGTCTCTTTCTTGAGTTTTCTCCTTTTTTCTGACATCTACAACGGAGTACTTCTCAAAAAAGGACAAATTTGTGCACGTATTTGGAAAATTGAAACAATCATTCATGTAAGATTTAAAAAGCGATCAGAATGAAAGTACGACAAACCACGATAGACAGTCGAGCGCGAGCTTCGGTGTAGCAATCCTTGCACCGATTGAGCTCTATTGGGTTTTCAATTTGCTTTATTGCCTTTTTTATAACTAAAAACATTTAAAACATTAAGTCTACTATCTCAAACACTGACCCAAAGATAATCAATTTAAGAAAACCACACAGTAAGGATGAAAGTGGCTCACTATCGAAAGCCTGATCAGCCCTATCCCGATCGTCAATATTTTTATCAGGGTGAATAAGTAGAGACAATTTCTTGAACTTCTTCTTAGCTTCTTCTATATCACAATCAGGATCAATTTGTAGTACCTGTCAAGAAATGTAGACCTATACTGAATCAGATGTGACTTGGAAATACTTTAAGAATATGATACCACAGACCTCGAACGGGTTCAAGTTGAGATATGTTGAACCAGGACGAAGAAGCCGATCGAGCTGCTGCTGTGAAGTGAGCGTCGAGTCCTCTTGTTCAGTTGCTTTGATCTAAAATATTTACCCGCCCATGAAGGAACTCAACAAGAAGTGATAAGTTTTTACATATAAAAACGGATAATGCCGGTAAACTTACATCATCGTAGAACTGTTCGAAGTTACTCATGCTCCTAGAAAGTAGCGTTTAAACTCCAAACTGCTAATTAAATACAGATATGCGGTATTTTATTATCGATACTATACGAGTAACTGAGCTCTTTGCTCTTCGAGAATTCATTTATACAAACGCAGACCTTACACCTTAAAATAACACGTCAAAATATGAGAGAAAAGAAGATCTGGACCTTATAAATTGATTCCAGTGTCTAAGAAAGCATAGTGCGCAAGGACACGATGAGGACAATCCACGTGTACGCAAGAGATAAGGAACCTCATCAGACCTCAGCACAGTACTTATCAGATGAGGGAATATCGATTCTGTATGATGGCAATAAAACACTTTGGAGAGAGAGGTAACGCTTAACCTTAAATGATCCTTAGGGAATTCCTAGTGATTTTTCACATGCAAATTTAAACTAAAGTCACAATTTAGCAAGTTAGGAAGACCGTAGTAGTACAGCAAAACCTACGAATCAACTCATAGACCAAAAAGTTCAACTTGTCCTTTCAGGCTTGGTGTACTGAGATTCGTAGTAGTAAACTGAAAGTTGTTAAAACCATAAACAGTGGTTTACCCATTATGTCAACAGAACAATATTCCACATTTTCGAGACTAAGTCATTTTTTGCACTTATATCACTTAACTGTTTTTTTCGCACAAATATAAACCGATAAGTCTTGCGACGACTCCCTGCTTATTGTATACATGCTGTTGCCTAGAAAGGTGAATAACATATCCGTGCTCTTAGAAGAAGAACAAGCATAAAATTAGGCATAGTCCCAAGCTTCGGCGGTCGAAGACTGCACTTCATCGTGATTGTGTTAATAATAACCCAGGGAATAGAAGACAACAATACATTTAAAACAATAAATAAAAAAACAAATGTGACCACAACTGTCACCAGATCAACTGCCATAAAAGCGACCGTAATATCTAAAGAAGCAACACAAATAAGGAAGAGCATGGAAAATTACTAGAACACTCCGAACATGAGTTTCCTAAGATGAGGCTCTACGTGATGAGAAGGAGGAAAGAGATCGAATTGGAGGGCTGAGCACAACGGTAATTCGAATGATAACATTTCACGTCGCGATATTCGCAACAGTTCCTCAGCACTCTGAAAACAACGAATTCCAAAATAGTCGAATAACAGGAAATTCGTTACCCTATATAAACGAAATTACATACCTGCAGAACCTTTACGATAACAGGCTTCTTGTAGTCGTTCAGTTTTACTGCAACCAGTAATGCCGTCCCTGCTACGAACTTACGATTATATTTCGAGATTAGTCCCTGAACTCCACGCATCATCTATCGAGCAATATGTTTGGCCATATATACTGTACTTAAATACATACACGTATGAATAAAAGAAGACAAAGCTGTCGGGGTTGGTCAATACCCCAGAGATGCGCCATGCATCGAGTCAATGCTGCTACTCTCCCAGGCTACTTTGGTGCCAATTTGCCGACGCCGGAAGGATGGAATGCTTGGTGAGCCTGGGGCACATGATCGAACCCACTGCATGGCACCTCCTACTACTACTACGTTACACGTGGCCTACATATATGTATATGTATATATATGTATATAATTCGATGTTTTCCTTCAATAAGCAGACACGAGGTTGTCATTATAGAATTTATTAGAATACAATAGTCGACGTTTCGGCGGTTTCGCCTTCTTCAGAGTCGTTTATTTGTTATAAGTATTTAAGTTAGTTGATGGATAGCAGGCGCACAGAGTAATAATAATAAATGGGCGATAATTGTCATATATATATATATATATATATATATGTGCACATACATGTATATACATATATTTGCATGCAACTGCATTATATATACATGTAAATATACGTATATAGGTATAGTAAGTAAGTAAGTACAAGCCTTGATAGTGATCCTTTCAAAGTATACATATGCATGAGCCACTGTACATTCGTCAACTCCACATTCTTTCGCTATTTGCCACACATCTCTTTTAATGCTGAAGAGTTAGTTATACACCATTAAAAACGATCCAAATCAACTTTATCACCATTTAACGCAAGATATGTGTTGGCTACAATGCGTTCTATGCGGGCGGCCGCTTCAAACTTTATGGCGCCATATCATAGCTTATACTGGACTTTATGAAGAGGAATAGAATCTCAGATCCTTGCCTACAATATATGTCATTATTCCAATAAGATGAAAGTCTAAACTTCTGAAACCCATGACAAGTACTTCCCTTTTCGTATTGTATAAAAGTTATATAAACGATTAAGGCAATAGGACGTCTGCACCGCAACCCCGATGTAGTTGTCAACTCCTCAAATACTACAATGATCGAGAAATTATGTCAGTAATAAAAAAAATCAGCTTCGGGTCTTATTAACTGTGATCATTACCTCCTTAGTTTACTGTATGTGAGATGGATGTTTGGAAATTTTTCCGCAAATGTGTCGTTCAGCATAGTCTTTGTGACCTCAGTGGGAGCGAATAGTTTTGTTACTCCCTCAAATTAACGGTTTGTACAGCTAGAGAAATACAAAGACAATTAAAGTGCATATCAAAAAATACTATGAATCCATTGGTCCGAATTATTGTTTGTGTGGCCGATGCAACTTCATCAAGCATCAATGGATCGTAGTCATTGCATCGACTAATATCAGTATCCAACTGGTAAGAATCGCTTTCATCAATCGCATCGTCACCTAAAATGGAGCGGAATCAACGTGCATCGTAAAGAGAAGATAGTGCACCTAACGATTGGTTCAACTAGTAACTTGGACACTTCGATGGCCCGTCCTCACGGGTTGTGCAGGCCCCAGCGTAATCTCCACAGTTTTTTTGGCTTAGCCACCGTGGTTCCCTGGGGTTCAAAGGTCAGTCAGGCCAAGTTTGCTCCAGTTCGTCAACTCCATAGGCAGTCGATACTCTTGCGGATCAGGGGAAGATTTGCCACTACGGGACTACTTTGATACAAGGACGGTGGTGGATCTTGGTGTTGGTTTACTATTAGCTAAGCAACCTCATGGAAACGGCGGACTCCTCCTCATGTTTGGAAACCCTGCTGGGAGGATGAATTGAACTCCAGCTGTACATCGCAGTCCGACACCCAGGAACACCTCCCGTGCACGATGAGGCGGTAAACCGTTGGGAAGGATTCGACCAGTAAAGTAAGTATTATGCCTAGTACAAATCAGAAGACAATTTACATTCTTTATGTAGAATGGAAAAAGGCAAAATGAACTAACCAGCACCAGCATTTTTCACGCCATCACTTAGTGATCCAGTAATCGAGTGTGAACGACGCTGATTCGTTGGAAGATCGTTCGTCTTCAAATAGGTGGAGAAAATTCTCTTTTACCAGATGCAGGTATTAATAATTAGAATACTTTATCACACTAACTTTTGTCTCGTCTTTGTATAAGGATTTCCAAGCAACCCCACTTAGCGACACACTTGAACGTCGAAGGTGTGATCCAAGTTGGTCGAAATATATGTACTACGAATCGAAGAATTTACATGAGGTAATGCGAGTCTGTTTTACTCCTTTTGTTGGATGGTATGATACTGGCATACCTTAACATCCTTAAAATCGAAAGGGCGAAGTTCTTCAATAGAAGCAACTGTTTTAATTTCATGCATTCGCTCCGAACTGAAAGGACAACAGAATTCAATTCAGTGTAGAACAGAAAACCATTAATAATGTGTTAAAAATATGCCAAACAAGAATGACAGCAAAGAAACATATTTGCCATACTTAACAAAACTGTGCAATGGGGCGGATAGCACAGTGGCAGTGATGTCGCGGTGATCACGAGCATAGTCTTGGTGCTAGCCCAGTTCCACTCCAAGCCAACCAAGCCTCTTATCCCTCCGGGATCGGGAAATTGGTACCGGACTTGTCCCGGAAAAACCCACTCTCTGCAATCCAATTGGGAACGTTTCAGCCCGGCTATCCCAAGACTCCAGAGAGAATCGACTCAACCAGCATTCTGCGACAGTCAAGATGAAATTAAAAATCATCAAGCAGTAGCCGAAGCCACACGTAAAAGTTGAAAGATCGTCGTAGGTAATAGATGCGAGGAAACGAATCGAATATGAGAAGTGCTGGAGTCCGCAGAGTAGATGTGAAGATGCGCCATATATAAAAACATATAAAACAAAATTGTACTGCATCTAAGAAAACTGTGCTGAACCCCGTTACTACCTTCCAATTGACGACGGCGAATAGTGGAAACGAAATCCCTCTCTTGCTGAACGTTGAAAAGGAAAGTGTGAAATAACAATAAGTGGAGCTCCTGATGCTGTACACAGATAGGATCTTGATCTGTAATCTTAGCACAATCTTAACACGATTAACAACTAGTACACACTACTACAAGCACAATAGTGATCTCTGATGTGCAGCAGGTTGCATATAATCGTTCACTATGTTTCCAACACCAACGGTACCGAAGAATGTGCTATTAGCATGCACACAAAAACTGGTAACCAGAGGTTTAAAGTGACATGTATACAGAATACCTGCCGTCTTTGACGAGCGATGTTCTCAGCAGACGAAGGAAAGCGAAATGAGACCCCGAAACTGAAGACATTGTCCGATCATCGAAAGCACTGTCTACAATAACAGTTCAACATCAAATTTTAGTCACAAATAAGACTCACTCAGTAATCTAGATATCACATAATAATGTTAACCTTTTCCTCCAGGCTTCCCAGATCAATCCCGTTGACCGGTGATTGTTGATGGCAGTGACTAATAGAAAACTAGCTGAGAGATAGGTGAAACGAAGGATTCGCATGGTGTGGTGGTGAACGCGTTAGCCTCCGGAAAGCGTAACAGCGTTCTCCACCGCAAACACCTCCGGCTTGGAGCTTTGCCAATATCTCAGCACTATTGTGGTTTTATCACATACATTACCCTGCCGTGAAAAGTAATAATAGGCAGTAATTTTTTATGGCACGGTATGACGAGAAATACAACTACGATGATGCTGAGATATTAGCAAAACTTGTACTTCGGGCTAGATTGAGCCACGATTATCCTTTCAAGAGGCTCGTGTATTGCACACTGTATCAGTGAGACCCTTGCTCTGAGTATACCTCAGCTAGTTTTCTACCTAACGCTGCCATCGGCAATCACCCGTCGGCGTGATTGATCTGGAGAGCACAAATCTGCATTGAACCCAGTTAAGTTGAGAGTGTAGCCGAAATCACCATCGGGCTCAGGATCCAAACTTTGCAAATATCCCATCGTCACTGCAATTACTATACACTAGTTTACACTTACGATCAGATGATTCCGATCTATTAGGTCTTAGGGCAACCATCGCCGAGTCAGCCGTCGACGCTTTCTCTTCCGCAACACTTTGTTTCTCAACTAGAGTATCGTCAGAGCTAATCATTCTTCCAAACCTTTTCAAAAAGAAAGGCCTAAATGAAATAATCATTTGCACGAAAAAAATAGTAGGAAAAAAGCATCTCACTTCGGTAATTTGTTCTTCAAAGTAGAAAGAGCATAAGTTGGTCCGTCACTTCCCCCAGGTGCACATGCACAAGGCTAGAAGCAAATAAAAGACTATTAATGCAGTTAATTTGAATTTGTACAAATTAGTAACCACTTCGTATAAGTCACTGCATCCCTTACTGAGGACTCTGTGTAGAACTTCACAGGTGCAGCAAAAGTGCATGAAACGCTTACAATCAAATTAAACAGGTTAACTAACCAGTCCAAGAATCCCACCTAACCTACCCTTCGGCGTTTTCGCTCTGAATATACGAAGTGATTGCACTGACGTTTACTTTAAGATACATATTCTTCCATACACACATTTCCTGCTCCAAGCAATGTTGCACGTTCGTCCTCACGTTTATTGTTCGGTAGAGACACATCACCACCTTCAGTAACAGTTGCAGCGCTCTACATTTCATTAAATCAACATTACACTACCTAATATCCCTTCCAATAACCTAGAAATCGGACTATACCGAAAAAGTGATGGGTACAACCTTCAAAACGCTGCGACGGTTGAAAACATGCAGCTTCGCGTCGGAGTGACTTCCATCCAGAGAAATATTGGATAGGAAGTTGTGGGCGATGAGCAAGTGGTAATCACCAATAACGGATCTCGTTTCCACCTGAAGTTCGATGCCGTTGGGAGTTCGAAGCTTTACCCCGAGTTTTACCAAGACGTATTCAAAAAGTGATGACACAGTGTAACACGTATGTTCAACAAAAAGCAATGTCAAAACTTTATTAACTCTTCCTTCAAATATCTGAAACCAACGATCCGTAATGACATTACAAGCATAAATAAACAGAAGGATGTACGAACGTTTCAAAACAGTGTTCTTGTATACTAAGGAACTACAAGAGTGCAGCATAGTACACAGGTGACAACACTACAACCCACTGCTTCACGGGAAACATGGTGTACACAACGAGAAAAAAATCTGAACTCATTCAGAAAACAACCATGAAGGTAACAAAACATCCGTGGAGAAAAAACTGAATGAAACCACAACGACACACTGTGCGCACACGTACGGCGTCTTAACGAGAGCGTGACGTCGAGCGCGATGATGAACGGCTACGCTTACGGTCACGTGATCTTGATCGCGATCGACTGCGTGAACGGGACTTCCTAAAAAATATACGGTTTAAGGATCTACGAAACACTTCACCACCATGTGCTTGGACCAACCTTGATGTGCGGATCGGGCTTTTTGTGATGCTTCTTCTGCGGCTAAAATACAAGGAAATTAATTGTGGATGTTACACGCAATCGCTCAAAGCTTTTCGGAAAGGATTATGCAATAATTTTCGCGCATTTCAGTTGTGTGGCAGCACCCCAGCCACAGCTATCCGTCTTACACTGACATACCTTGAAAGAAATGCGATCTACTTCCTGCACCATACCATACCATTATCCATACAGTTGGTCATTTCATCAACCAACAACCATTATCCAACGCCGAACAAAGCAGCTTCTATCTCCGCCGTCAGCAAAATCCATGAGTATACGGCTTCTAACATACAACGCGACCATACGCGCCGCGTTCGAATTCCCATTCAACATCACCACCATCCAAAACATCAAGGACCAATGCTAAAATGTACATCAGAGTGTACTGGTGCCAAAAGTAGGCGAATGCTTACGAATTACTGGATGGTACGCTAGAAAGTGATTCTCTGCACCACTATTTCAGTTTTATTTGAGAACGACTATGGCATTCATGTTGTTGAAGTTGCTGTAATATGAAAACGATGACGAACGATGGTCGTGCGCGCAAAACAATATTTGGTATTGAAACTTGGTTAACAGTGCGAAACTGCGTTCGCTCTGGTTATTTGACAACGAAATAACAGCTCTAACAATACCATTAACGAAAGATCCCTGTCGCAAGATTTTCTACAGTTCCGGCGCCTTCGTTGCAATTGCGTCTCACGATGGTCGAGTAACAAGTCCAAAATTAGGGTGGACAGTATTGTGCATTTTACGAGAGCGTGATCCGATTCAATCTCGAATAGCTTGCCGGGAAGATAAAAAAATTACTATGGACAACTACACATTCATGCGTTCTTGAACTTTGGTACAGTTCTAGTAAAGAAATCGTTTTGTTGTACACCACCATAAAAGATATTAGAACATTGTACAGCACAGTGATACGGCTCAGTTCGACGAATTTCCTTAGTGGCTAGATTAAAGGTTAAGTAAAAGTCAGCATGTAGTCCCCCTAAAACATAAGTGGATCTATAACGTTAGCCAGTCTTTACAAACAACGCTGACTTGTCTAACGTCTGCTTACGAAGTAATATACATACATACACACTTCTATGTGGTTAGAAGTATTTGTGATATATTCCTCAAAATTGCGGCGAAATAGTTCAGCATGGCTAAATAATCTACTAAAAAGGAAAACACTGGATGCAGCTCAACTCATCTACATAGCCAGTTTGTATCGCACAATGGGTTAAGAATAATTTTTACCATAAAAGTAACACTGACAAAAGCCTCATTGTGAATCAATAAATAAGAGCAGTTTTTGCATGAAGCATAGAAATTTGTGTAAGGTAGTGCTATTACAGTGATTAAAGCTGTGTTCAACAGGCTATACCAACCACTTCCACTCAATATGCTTCAGAAATTAGGATGCATAAAGGCTTACAAAAGGACAACAGTTACATAAACAGTGATTGGATATACTTGAAGTCAAAAACAGTTTTATAATCAAAGGTACCTAAACCTACATGGTGCTGAAGACAAACACATCAAAACGATGGAAGGTTCACTTGAAACTGGCACCTCATGATTAACCAATCAATATTATAACAATGTGAACAGAATGCTGACCATCACCTTAAACCACAGTGATCTTTCCTCATGCACTGAATCTTTACACGGCTAATCAATATCAATATTACACTCTCCCTACAGGAACTATGAAAAAGTATGAGAAAAAGCACCCATGCTTTACCTTAAGTTCCATGATCTTGTTGGAAAATAGAAGCTTTCAGTTAAAGAACTCACCGCCTTCCGTATGACCCTCCGTATCCTCCACCACCGTATGCCCCACCGAAGGATGACCGGAAACCAAAACGTTCTCTTCGAGGCAAGGCATGGGCAACGCGGATTCGTTGACGACGAATATATCTGCAAAGTAGGGATGCAACGTCTATCGTTCTTGTGAACTATAACGTTGCACAATGTGTGCGAATGAAAACAATGATGATAAAATAGATAAAGACGCACGAATCATTCATTTTACGAATGGCTTCCTCGGCATCTTCGTCCCTTTTGTATGTGATGAACGCGTAGAACGGATGGTAAGATGCAAGCCATATGTCAACGACCTTACCGAATTTCCTGGAAGACTACATGCTCTATATCGATATCTTAGTTGCTAAGAAATTAGAAAAACTTGCTCAAACGCCTTCTCAAGATCCCTTTTCGAAATCGAAGCCGTGAGATCAGAAACGTGGATTCTGCCGTTGACGACGCGGCGGCTACTTGACGGTATAGGCGAGTAGGTACGCGAACGCGACCTAGAGCGGCGAGATCGACGCCGCTCACGCCTAAATCTACACGTTTACCGCAAACTAAACGGGTGTTTCTTCTCGCTTGGTTTAGTTTATAACCTTTATTTGTGACTCTAAGTGCGACCGCTAATTAGAATTACTTTCCTTTTTCGTTCCAAAACATGTATAACAAATACAGACGCACCCTCTACTTCTGCTTCTTGATCTGCTAGCACTACGACTTCTCGAACGAGAACTTGAATGGGAACGACTTCGCGACTTCGACCGCGAGTCGCGACGCGACTTCCTATCCTTTTTCTTGTCCTTCTCATCAGACTGGAAAAATGTACCTAAGCACAAAGTTTGCAAGTAAAATTTAAATACAGACCTCTTCCTCTATTTTCTCGTCCATTACGATAGATTTTTTCAGGTCGTTCTCTTCAACAGTCGGAAGTTCGACTTCTTGGGATGCGGCGGTAACGTTTACGGTGTCAGCAGCACTCATTATCTTAAATATGACGGCAAACATTACAGTGCAAGGAAAAAGCAATAAAATTTCGGACAAACACCAGTCTATAATAAACTGTACAAAATTGTCAACTACTCTCAGAACGTTCAATGCAGCACTTTCCTTACGAGACTAACCATGACACCGCATATGATGGGAATGACAGAACTGAACACACAAATGTATTCAGTTTCTGACGCGACAGTTCTCAATCCATATTACCCAGTTCACAATGTTCGCTACTTTATTATGCAACCAGTAGTACAACAACCAAGGCTCAACAGTTCGTCAGATTTCAGAAATCTGCTAGATTAAGACTTGGACCTAACTGAACTACGCAAAGAGGATTACGTCAACTACAGGGACGATATTCGAAGGTCGTACAACTCGGCACGATTATCTTCACATTACTCTGTAAGCGCTTCTCTAACGAGAAAGGAGGAAAAAAAAGAAAGAAAAGAGAAGTTAAACACCACCACGCAACCCTAGGGCAACCGCACAAAGCACCGCAAACGACCAGAATGAGCGTGGCGTGTCGCGGTCGCGACCGCGGTCGCTCCATCTAATCGATAAAGATGCCCGCAAACAGCGTGATTGTCACGTGGGTACCTGCGCATCTAACGAACTGCGGTTATTTATCGTCTATTTGACGACATACCCGTATTTATTTGTGATTTGAAGCCTATCGTAGTATCTCTACTGTGACGTCAATAAAGAAGTTAGTGTAGGCCTGTTTCGTATACCAACATAACTCGCTAAGAAAAACCCTAGACATAAGTATGTGCAGCTTGCTGCTGCTTGGCAAGTGATTTTTTAGCGAATGTTGAGGAATTCCCAATAAGTCGCACCTGTGCTGTGATGAAGAAAATAGGAAACTGTGAGTAGAAACGTCAATGACCAAACTTCATATTTGAATGACCCGTCCTCACTGGTTGTGCGGGCCCCAGTATAATCCCCACTTTTCGGAGATTTGCTAGTTAAGCCATTGTGGTTTCCTGGAATCCCGAGGTCAGCCTGGCCAAAGCCTGCCCCACGTTCTCACCACCACGGGCAATCTTAGCCCTTGAGGATCAGAGGGAGATTTGCCACCATGTGACTTCGATACCATGGCGGTGGTGGATCCTGGTATTGGTTCACCCTTAGCTAGGTTTTCCGATTGAAACGCCGGACTTTCTCAGCTTGGGAGACCCTGCCTCGGGAACGAACCCCACCCTGTACATCACAGTCCGACATCCACCAGGAATACCTCTCAACCACGATGAAGCGGTAAACCGTTGAGAGGCAATAACTACAACAATAGCCTATTCTATGTCTTAGGAAGAAGAAACAGTGTGACGTTGGATAAGGGGGCCAATCACTTTAAACTGATGCTATGAATAAGTCGTAAAAAACGAAATGAAAAACACGTCCAAACAAAGACTGTGGAGACCTCTCATCAATATGTCAAAGATCACTCAGGATGAGCAGACGGTTCAGCAAATCGTCGCGGGACGCACTGGTGGTACTAATGCGCGCTAAAGTCGCTTTGAATTTTTGCCGAACCTTTAAATTTCGGAAGATAGGCGATGTGTGATGGCTGGTTTAATGCAGCAAGAGAGGGCTACTCTTTCATGATAAGAAATTAGAGAAGGTTAGAATGATTCTACATTATGTGCTGTGCTAAGATATAATTTCATTCTTATGTTCTGGTGTTTTACCGCCCCACTGTAGCTTGGATTGAGCTGTTTATGGGTTTCAAGCCACGATGCTCAACTGAAGCGTATCTGCTAATAGGGTTTCCCAATCTGAGAATTTCTTCGGACCGGAAACTCAGCTAGGAGTAAGTATATGGCACAAATCCACGTTGTTCTGGTATCAAACTTGGGTATTATTTAGCACGGCTCGCTAGAAGTTCCAAAGAAGAGAATCTTATTCCACTGCCGAATCACCAGCCGAATGAAATCGTTGGGTTTGTTCGATCCTTCGTAAAGGTAGACAACTCAAGTAAGTAGGATGAAGTGGAGTTAGGTGACACCACTTTCACGATAGGCTTCGTTAATAGCAAAATACATCGGCCGAATGCAAGTCGGGACTTTAACATGCTAAGAAAAATCAGTATAAACTAAAGTGGTCGTCTCCTTCGTGATTTTGACTATCGAAATAAGACACGTGTGGAAAAGCTCCGGTTCTTTCCTTTCGCTAAGGATTTCCGTACCACATTTGGTGTTGGGATCGGGTCTTGCTGAACTGTGAGCGTTGGAGTTTTGTTTATTCTGTGGCATTCTATGCCACTGCATGGCTTTCATAGAATTCTATGACAATACTTAGCGAAGGATTTCGTCCAGCTTTGCTTCAATTACTTGCTTAGTGTATTACCTCAATTGCCAGTCAACCCGTGAATCATCGGCTATAATTCCCCTTTGATTGACCATTTGGTCGATACGCGAGATTTTCTTTCTCCTGAGATTGCTTTTTTCATTCTTAATGAATTTCATTGGATAGTGGTCGAATTGGTTCATTCTGGAATTCAGAGATAGGTGCGCTGGAGCATTTCCAGCTCCTCACCACAGACAGACAGCTACCGTACTTTTTCTTCAATCGGAGCAAGCTTTTCCCAGATAATTTGCTATTACTTTACTGAATCCATAGGAATGGTGAGCTCAGCTAGCCCAGTGCAGGGTGGAACCAGCGGCTATGCATGTGTATTGCAAGGCATTTTTAACCAATTTTTAACCAACGCTCACCATAAATGGAGGATATTATTATAAAATTCACGGAGGAGCATTTCAAACCATCTTGCTGTCTACATTATCGTTAGGTCGATGGAGGCTCATCGAATGATTCGTTGCGGTTCTGAGAGAATCGAAGTCACAAAGTAGCGAATTATACCAGATTCAGAAGGGTTGGCGACTGGACGCTTTGCGGATCCAGAAGTTCTTTAGAATGTCAGTGTTGAGTACAGAAGACGACTCCCACAGATAGCACTTGTACGATAAAATCGAGTGGAACAAGGGCTGGGGATCTGCACAACATTTTAAATTCGGTTAACTAAGTGTCCAAGTAAGTAAAAAAGCTAAAAAAAGCCCTCGGCGTTGACCAATCCCAGGGGGATGCGCCATGCGTTCGACTTCATTAAGCATCGTTTGGAGATGATTGAATGCATGCCTGACCTTTACAATGATTCACGGTGCCCTACCGATGTATCGAGGGAGTGCTCCTATCCTCTGAGACAAGTCTAGTGCCAATTTGCCGACCCCGGAGGGATGGAAGGCTTGGTGGGCCATGGACGCGGGGATTAATTCCGCGTGTGTGTCGCTGGGCGCCTCCGACCACTGCGCCACACGCGCCTTTTGTGGACCCCAAGTAAGTACATTTTAAAATTTCCAATTACCTTAAACTAAGTGTACTATGAAATTTTGACGTATTCGAATATTTTGCGAGAGAATTAGTGGAGGTTTTGATATTCCCGAATGGAGATTCAGCGTATGAAGGATTTGGTACTGACATTACTCACTTACTTGGATAGTTGGATGGTCCGTCGTTACGTGTGGACCCCATCACATATGCTTTCATTTCTTTCCCTCGCAGTCGTCGTCCATAGTGGTTGTTTTGTTCGAGTATGGTAACGCGTTCGAGTATTATACCGTGTGACCTGTAAAATAACTGCAGCTACCGGTACAGCTAATTAATTTTGTTTACGAGTACGTCCTCCCAACGTGTAGATGGCTGTCCTTGGGGATGCCTGCATTCTAGTGGCGTCCACTCTACAGTTCCTTCCATCTATCTATCGTTTGTTCTTCTCATTATGTGGCCGGCCTATCTGTGTTTCGCTATCGATGTATATTCTTCTGGATCTCGAAGATGTGATAGATTTCGAAGATCAGGGCTTCACATTCCGACTAGATATTGAGAGTGCCGGTTATATTTCAGAAGACAGCGCTCAAGCGTTCTGTGAGTAGTGCGGAGTATTCTCGACGTGGTTGAAGTGGTGGCCTACGTCTTCGCTCCATAACAGAGCGAAAACAGAGGTGGATAGATAGAACTAGCTAAGAGACAGGCGAAACGAAGGACCTACATGGTGTGGTGGTGAACGCGTTACTCCCGGAAAGGGCAATAGCGCGTTCGTTCCCCACCGCAAACACCTGCAGTCCGGAGTTTTGCCAATATCGCAGCTTCATTGAAGTTATATTTCGCAATATACCCTGCCATTAAAAAAGAGTAGGCAGTAAATAAAACGATTAAGAGGTGGGAGCGTTGAACTGAAAAGGTGAACGCGAATTTTCGGTTCCTTCAGTTGGTCGGTGGCTTCTTTAAGAAGCCCGAATGCAGCCCAAGCTGCTCTCCTTCTTCCATCTAGTTCCTTTTTCATGTTGTTTTCCATGCTCACTGATCGTCCAAGGTATACGTACGAGGTGGTCTCTGCAATGGGAGAGCCGTCCAGTTCAATTTTTCCGGGTTTGCACCATGGGTTTTCTATGAAGTGGGTCTCGTTCTGATTTATGTGTAATCCGACCTTCTTTCCCGCTTCGTTGAGTTCGTTGATCATCGTCTCTGCTTCTCTCGTACTTCTTGAGAATGATAGGAATCTTAACCTTTTTATTTACCGCCTATTCTTTTTAATGGCAGGGTAGGTTGCGAAATATAACTTTCACAGTGCTGAGACATTTGCAAAACTCCGGACCGCAGGTGTCTGCGGTGGGCACGAACGCGTTATTACCCTTTCTGGGGAGTAACGTGTTCACCACCACACCATTCGGGTCCTTCCTATCGCCTGTCTGTCAGTTAGTTCTATCGATCACAGCCATCAGCAATCACCCGCCAACGGGATTGATCTGGGGAGTCCAA